AGCGAACAGTCAGTCGGTCACGGCGTCCCGGTGAGCGACGTTCATGTGAACACGTTCGATCTGTTTCCCCTGCACCGCCGCCGTCGTCGCGGTACACCACGCGCGTTCTCTGCTCCCGTACGGAACACCGCCGAAACGTTTGCGCGTGCTATACCACATCGCTCCTGCCGTTGCGTAGACCCGTAGGCGGCGTTTCTATCGCTCGCGAGTGCATCTCCCTTACCGGCCGTCGTCCGTCGCGCGACGATACCACGAACTAGACATTTTTACTCTCCCTGTCATACTCTCTCACCATCTCTTTCACACGCACACGCACACACACACACACACACACACACATACATACTGCGCTATGTTCCGACCCTTCCGCTTCGGCCCTACGCGAGGGTCGTTTTATTAAATTCCCAATCATAATATATCGACGCGATTATACACGCGACGACCCTTAATCGCGTACTTAAAAAATACGCTCCCCTTTTCAAATCTCGAAACACTATCGGCCGTTACACATTCAACTGTCGTCGCGGATACAAATTGTAGAATCCGCCGACGCGTGCGATCGCTACCGCAGCGTCACAGTGCCGGTCGGCTAAGTTCTCGAAAGCCGACGACGGAGGGCGAACGACGAGTAAAGAAAATGTTCGTAAACGCGTTGGCTGTCATTGAGCAACGAAGAAGTTACTCTTTTAAAGGCCCCGGAAGCCAGGCAAAAGTTGCTGTCGTCACAAAACCATCGTCGGCTCTGACGCTCCGTTCTATGCTTTGGCAATGATGCATTTGAAGGCCGCTCGTTATTAAACATGGTTTGGAAATTGAATTATTTTGGCGATAACGGTGATAGCGTTGGTGGTGACGAAGAAGACACGGGTGGTGGACACGGATGCACCAAAACAATTAAGTGTCGGCGACGTAGACATCCGCATTCAGCTACCTCGGCAAATGTGGCAGCTTCGGCCAGATGGATGATCATCACAATGTTCATTTTCTTCTTGATATCCGGCACGGCTGCCGTGTTATCAAACTCGACGTTCAAAGGTACGTTTTTGTAGCTGTTATCGATGTTTTTTGAGAAATAATAATACCGTAATCATAATATACATATGACATTAAGCAACATTTTAATTAATAGTTTAGAAAAATAAAAAAACTATGAGTAAGCGTTAAATAGATTTAGGTTTGTCTTAGCCAATGCCACTGCGGAATTGTTGTTATGTGAATACACGACGACGTACCGTTGCGTCTGGTTGTATTTGTTGACCGCGATGGACACGGCTATGCAAAACGGAAATAATTTTTTTTAATAATATTAAATCTGACTTTTACGAATGACACTCACACGCGTATTTATATATTATAATGTATATGAGTATATTTTTTTATAATACATTTTAGTGGTTAGAGATCGTATACCGTAGTCGACGCGATACGTATATTATGAGATCTATATGATTTTGTGTGCGTTTGTATAATATACGAGGACGACGGCGGACGACAGTATCGTGTTGTCGTAACACGATAGGTGCACGCATCGAGATCGGATGAATCTCTGAGACATGAGATGTATTATATCGTTGTATTGCGTTGTGTACGGGCCGCCGATATTATTATGCGTTGTCAGCAGGGATTATGCGATGGCTTGTTGTACGAAAGTGAAATGACAAAGGTTTAGTAACTGAGTAGACGATACCTGAAAGATCACACGTGGTCTAGGACCGTATTGTTTATTTCTCTAGCAATAATGCGTGTTAAGCAATGTAGGTATACAGCGGTAAATTTATTTACATGCCATGCGACTATTATTCTTTGGGGGAAAAGACACTCGTGGGCCGCTTGTCGAAGAAATCGTAACGATCTATACACGCGACATAAAAGTGTACTTATACGTTTATATATGTACATATGCTAATAAGAGTAATAAGAGTGGATTTCCGGATGGGATATTTTATGACGTTCCAATAAAATTAGATGGGACATTAATTTCGAATTTTCCCGAGCTTAGATTCGATAAGTAAGGGAGGAAAACGAGAGTTTCGAGAGAAAAAATCAGGGTTCCCGGACGTTACGCACTTCTCCTACCCCTCACATTGATTATGCGACTGTGGGTGTAAAACGCTCCCTCACTACTACTACCACTATTCCGCCGCCGCAACAATTTACGCACCCGTGGTGTTATGTATAGTTATAGGTAATCGGTAGCTTATTAACATTATACTTATATATATATATAAATGTATAGACTCACGAATTATTCGCGAACGGCGTCTTACGAGGGGAATAAAAATAAAAGAAATAAACTCTGCAATCACGGCGCGTTAAACTCTGTACGTCTTTGCGGTTCGCAGAATTTGACGCGTAAAAATAGACTCTCGTGTCTAGATTTTATATGTAACGGGAAACTCGCGGAGGCGTATCGTGTGGAGTAGGTACAGTCGGTGGTGCACTACACATCACACGCAGTGAGCGTTCCATTAAAAGGCACTGCCCCGAGTCAAAGACTTTTTTCAGACCTTTACCATCAGAAGTTGTTCAATACATAACGAATGCCTTTGAAATGGCGCATTGGTACGATCGGTTCAGCAGTCGATCGGAAATTCGCGTAAAAAAAAAAAAAAAACCCCTCAAGCATAACGCGCGGTTATCAATTATAAAGTATAAACAGGCGAGTACGCCGCTTGTGATGGTGACGGTGGTGATCGCATCCTCCCGACACCGTCGGATTCAGAGGGAAAATCACTCGGTGCCTTTTAATAGAACGCCCACGATCTTGTATATACGCACACTGATGTGCGCGCGTGTCGGTGTACGGTTGTAGTACATTTAAATGTAGCGTACGCACGCGCACGATTTAGTTGGTCGAGGGCGACGGCGATCTCGCAGACGACCCGCAACGCGCTGCGTCTTGCGGATAATAAAATTCGTTGTCGCCGCCGCCGCCGCCGCCGCCGCCGCCGCCTTCGCCGATCTGTTTATTATTAAACGCGCGTACTACGCACTGCTGTGTCGCGCCGTACAGCGTTCGACGCGTAAACGCGTTTTAAATATAGAAAAGCGACTCGAACAATTCGGACCGAGAGAACAGGCCCCGTGGCCGCCGCCGTCCGTTACAAGCGTACGGCGCGTGTAATGATAATAATAATATGTGTAACGCGCGTTTTATAAATATCGTCCCGGCGGCAGCGGCGTCAAGAGCGTCTCCGTCGGCGAATCCGCCTCTCTTCGCGTGACGTGCAGTGTTTTTTTTTTTTTTTATTTTTTTTTTTATGGTCAACGCGTGTTTCTAAATATGGATTCGTCCGCTCGCTATTGTCGTCGCCGTTCAGGTCGCTCTCGTTACGCCGACGCCGTGGCCGTTCGCCGCGGTACAACGTTTTACGAACATTAGTTGTATTATCACCATAATCATCACCACCATTATCGTGTCGCGTTCGTCATTCCCGTTAAGACATTATCGCGCCGAGTGTAATATTCTAGAAACGATCTCCTCGAAGAGCAGTGTTTTGCGAAGAACGAGAGTGTAGCACTGAGAATAACAAAGCGTTTTCTTGATTTTGCCGTTGTACAACGCCCAATCCAGTAACAAAATTAATTTTAATTAAACATCATTCGTTCGTTTCTTTTATCGCTCTCGTAGCACACGCGATTGTTCACTCGATCGCATGAATAATTGATGATTATATTTATGAAAAACAAATTAATTATGTTCGGTAATTCATTCGCACCGTCTAATTATCGATGAACACTACGGTTCTCGGTTGGGCCGTTGAAACCGTTATGTGTTATTTTGTGTTTCGTTGAAGAAGACCACCGGCGTTTTCTAATCATTTAGGATACACGTTGATTATGATTCGATTTTCCGAAAAAAATGGTCGTCAAATTGATATTGCGTTTCGAATATGCGTAGACATTTTCCACGAAGGTTGTCTTTATAATTATAAATCGTATTATCATCAAGAGTACGTACCTGGGTTAACACGGATGCCCAAACGTGGTAGGAATTAAACAATATGTACAGTCAGCTTATCGTGTTTACGGAAATTTGTTCCACCGTTTCAAGACCTAGTCGGGATTATAAGGGAGCCGGTGTGGGGTTGGCAAGTTCCGCGTGGGTAGGTTTTTTCTTCCGTTCCAAATCCCGTACTAGTAATATTGTCAGTGTCCACGGTTCGAAAGGACTAGAGAAATTCCCTCGGGTCCAGGGTGTCCTTAATCCGGGCTAAGACCAACTACGGGGGACATGCGCTGCATTTTACGAAAACTAAGAAATCGAATATTTCTCCGGAGGGCGCACGACATTTTAAATATTAATATAGAGCCCGAGCGAGAGAGGATTACACCCTGGCACATACACTCACATTTAAATCACATGACTTTTCTGAGGGAGCCATTATGTAAAACGTGACCCGAGCTTCGATGTGTTACGACCCGAACAAAATATAATGTACCATAATATCGTGTACAAGTCGCGTACCATCAGCCGTGTACGAAAACCGGAGTTCGATTTTGAGGGTGGTCGAGGGACGGGGGTAACAAAAGGTCTGTACAAAACTTTCTTACACATGCTGCTATAGGGTTCTACGCTCGGAGGTGGGTCGTGAAGTGCTTCGTTCTCTCATGACGTTACCATTATCACTTTAACCGAACTCTCTTAACTCTCCTCGAATGTCATACGCATACACTCACACACACACATACGCACGTACACAAATATATTTCCTAGAATTGTATTGAGAGAGGGTCACCTGTGTCCCGTGGAACTCGGAAACTCTGTTTCGTAAATTAAACAACGGCGCGCATTATGATATTCGAGGATAAACCGTACCAAGTTTCGGTGAGAATAGCAGTGTGTACATGTAGTTTGCGTGGGTACGCGGACCGGTGTGTATGAATTATGGTGAAACGGAATAGGAATAATATAATATTAGCGGAGTTGTGTATCGAATTCGACGGCGAGGAGGACATCGATTCGGCTCGGTAGAAAATAATACCGAATACGGAGCAACAGCGGCGTTTAACGTTGGGCGGGCAACGTCCGTGATCTTACCTCCTCGGTTTGCGGCATAGCGGCTTGTATACGTAGGCAATGCGCGTCATGTCAGGTGTCGCAGCAACCAAATATTTGCGCCCAGGGACGAAACTACGAGATGCGTCTTCGTGTATTTTTATTAGAAAATTATTACCGCAATTATTTGATATTATTTTTGACGAATGTATGCGAAGGACGTTGAATATTTAGTAAACAAAATGTTGCAGTTCTTAACGTGCAGAAAATCTTCCTTTTTCGCGCCCTCGCAGGAATCGCGCTCGGGGCGTAAGTACCTCTCGCCTGCCCCCTTCACATTGCTACGGCCCTGCGTCGTGCTTCCGTCCCGCCTCAGTGGCGTACACGCACGCGTGCACGTCGTGAGAAACGCATACATTATTGCAAGCGTCTCGGGCACGACGGTCGCCCGGTTTACGGTACAACACGCACGGCGATGCGTTTCTACCGCGCGCGGCCACAAACGTACGAGATGGGCCGGGAGGGTGTGTGTGGGTTGGTTTGGTTCCCAAAGGCGTAAGCGCCTTTAGCGGGCGTGTGCGTGCGCGCTAACGATAATAATAGTAATAGTGATAATAACGGGACGAGACGATGGGAACGCGGCGCCGGGCGATCGGTGTTGTTTTTAAGGGTAGGAGGAGAGCGTCGCAGGTAAGAGAGATTGGAGAGCTTGCGAGCGCGCGTGTGAAAAACTCTCAATCACCGCGCGCGTTTGTTGTTGCACAACCGCCGCCGTCCCGGGCGCGAACGTATTATACGCGCTCCGCCATTGTGCACTTGTCGTGGTAAAATATTACACCGGCCCGACCGTAATGTACTTAACGTGCGAGCGTGTTGCGGGTGCGAGCGAGTACCGGAAAAGAAAAACAACAACAATAACGCCGCGGCGCGTTCGTGTGTACCACCAGCAGCAGCAGAACGGGCGCGCGACGACGGTCCAAATACATTACGCGTTCGCGTTTACCGTACGGCGATGCGCATGACAATAGTAATGATA